CCGATTCCAAATCAAAATGGAAGCTGGCATCCTCCCCTCACCAAAGGTCCTCTCTCTTTGGAGCAGCTCTAGAGCCAATATTAGTAGAGGGGAAAGACAAAAAGAAGGTGTTACCTGTAACGCTTAATAGACAAGAGTGCAGGTTTACTCCCTATAGCCAGAGACAGCCTTTCGTGCGGACTCAGGACCCAGGGGGTCCTATTACAATAGATCATCTTCACAAGGGTATGACTGTTTCGCCAATAGATAGGGCAGTAGTGACAGAGGAAGATTCCAGTCCACCTCAAGATGACCTTTTAGAGGTTCTGGTCCCCGCTCCGCTAGACGGGGCAAATGACTCCCTCCCTCTCACTCCCATTGGGGGGCAGCTCCTTCACTTTCTGCCCCAGTGGGAGATCTCCATGTCCGATCCCTAGGTTCATCGGACTGTGGGAGTTGGACTAACTCTGGAATTTCATACAGTGCCCCAAAAATTTTTCATTCATTCCCCAGTGTCCCAACACAAGGTCAAACAGGACAATCTCAGGGCAGAGATACAACACTTACTGGAAATAGGGGCAATAGAGAAGGTCCCAACTTCTCTCAGGAAGGAAAGAGTCTATTCGATCCTATTTTTGGTACCAAAGTTCTCTGGGGGGTGGAGGGCCATCTTGAATCTCAGACATCTCAACAAATTCATTCGATACAAGAGATTCAAGATGCAGTCCCTCAAAACCATCTTGGGTTGTATTCGGAAAGGGGACGTAATGACTTCGATCGATTTGCAGGAAGCGTACCTACATGTCCCGATACACCCTCATCATCGCAAGTACCTCAGATTTGTGTACACCGGACAGCATTACCAATACCGAGCGATGCCATTCGGCCTCTCGTCCACCCCGAGGGTTTTCACCAAACTGTTAGCAGCAGTGGTGGCCACCATTCGGCAGATTCCCATCCGCATATTATGTTACCTAGACAACATTTTAATTTTGTCCAATTCTCTTCTCCAAGTGCAGCAGGATATGAGGACCGTTTGCCAGGTCCTGGAGCTCCATGGCTTTTCCATAAATCGCAGGAAGAGTCATCTTCTTCCTTCCAGGTCCATCGTCCATCTGGGTGCTCGGATCGATTCGGAGGCGCTCCAAGTTTTTCTGTCAGAGGAGCGGCAGCAGAACATCAGGGTCCAGCATACCCTGGCTTTGAGGCGAGTGTCTCTGATAAACTTATCTCGGTTGCTTGGCAAGTTTATTTCTTGTTTAGAGATCGTGCCATGGGCTCACCGTCACTCGAGACCACTCCAGTGGTTCCTTCTGCCATTTCAGAGGCTGGGCCAGGGTTCATCCAGGACTACAGTGTCGCTTCCAACTCAGGTATGTGTGTCCCTCAGGTGGTGGGCGTCGGGGGCCCTGGCAAAAGGTTGTCAATTTCATGTGCCCACCAGGATAGTTCTCACCATGGAGCGATCCTCTCCGGCTGGTGGGGGGGTCACTTGGAAAATCAGGTGGTCCAAGGAACCTGGACGCAGACGGACTCTCAGGACAATATCAATGTTCTAGAGTTGAGAGCTGTGCATCTGGCCCTGCTTCATTTTCAGCTGTCCCTATGTCACCGCCATATCCTTGTCCTCACGGACAACATGTCAGCAAAGGCCCACATAAACCGGGAGGGGGGCACCCAATCTCTCCCTCTTATGCGGGAGGCAGAAGCACTATTGGACTGGGCGGAATCTTAAGTCTATCTTCTGGAGTGTTGGCTATTCCTGACAGCTTGGTGTCATGTGCAAATTTAATGAGTTCCCCATCTATCCCCTCATCCAAATAATTGATGAAGATGTTGAAGAGTACTGGGCCTAAAACAGAGCCTTGGGGTACCTCACTGCATATTTCCCTCCATGTAGATGCCTTTCCATTGAGGACTGAGGTTACTGCTGTCTTTACTGGATGCATATTCAAGACTTCGTTGTTTGAAAATGCTGTTTGCCTTGATTAATAAAATGTATAATTCGTATTCTCAAATAAAATTGGATAAATTGCATATCTTGCTAATGCAATATTTGGTTTTACTTTTTAGTTTTTCTTACCAATTGTTACAAGCTCAGTTATTGTCATTGAGAACTATTTTAGTATAGTATTAAGATAGCTATTATGGTTTATTCAGTAAATAACATTTAAATAATCCATGATTACATATCTGTAAATATGGCTGTATCATAGGTTTGATTGATCATTGTATCTCATATGTTAAATTCTGTCCTGCAGGTTTACATGCTAACTTGTAAATAATAAATCTTATATTGTTCAATCAGTAGAATAAGTTTAGGTATGATCAGAAAATTACTATTGCATATACCGTATTTTTCAGACTATAAGATGCACCTGACTATAAGACGCACCTAGGTTTAGAGGAGGAAAACAAGAAAAAACTATTCTGAACCAAATGGTGTAGTAATATATTTAATAAAATATAGCAGAATAATATTTCAACCATGTAAAGTCAACAGCGGTATTAAGAACCATCATCACTGTCATTAACAAATGAGGAAGCTTCAAGCACTCTTCTAATTTTCTGGAAACCCCAAGAACTCATCATCGCTAGTGTCAGAATTTATGAAGCTCAGTTGCTCACAATCACTGATACCAGTTTCTTCGCTATCTTTATATATGATATCATCTTCAGTTCAATCTAAGGCATTGCTAATGCCACATTTTTTGAATGACTGTGCAACGATTTTGTCCTTCACTGAGTGCCATGATGTTTTAACCCATTCACAAACTTGAGTGATAGTGGCCCTCTTCATTCATCCAGTAGGATCATGATTACCAGCAGCCATCCACTCTTCTTCAATATAGACTTTAAATGGTTTGTTGATGGAAACGTTGGCTGGTTAAGACCCCCAGGAATTACAGCTAGATGAGTCTTCACTTCTTTAAATCTCTTCTTTGTGGTTTCACTAATATGTGCTTTAAACTGGTCGAGCACTAATAAAGCAGGTTTTTTCAGAAGCCCTCCAGGACGTTTGGACCACACTTTTTCAACCCATACTCTCATTCCATTTTCGTCCATCCATCCTTTCTCATGAATATGCACAACAACTCCTTTTGGAATTACTTCTTTTGGAAAGGTTTTCCTTTTGAAAATTAACATCAGTGGCAATTTGGTGGCACAGCAGGACAACACAACCATGTAATGTGTTTTCTCATGTTCTGAGGTTTTCACGGTTATGCTTTTGGCATCTTTCAGATCAACAGTCTTATTAGATGGCACATCATAGGTTAGTGGAACTTCATCCATATTCCCAATCTGGCCAATTTCAAAATTATTTTTCTTCCTAGTGTCTATTACAAATGTATGAAAAGACAGAATCTTAGATTCATACTCTTGGCATTTTTTTCACAATTCTAGTTTTGGTGTGCATAGCAAGGCCATATCACCTCATAAATCTGAAGCACCCTGATGGTGATCCAGTAAAATCCTGAATGCCTTTCTCTACAGCAATGCATTTGGCTTCATATATTACCATTTTTGTAGAAACTGCGAAGTCATTATTCCGGTGACGTGTGATCCATTCTCTCATGTCTGTGGCCACTTTGCAGCAAGCCCATGAAAGTTGTGCTTACTTTTATCTTTTACTTTTTGCAGCTGATCCACCTGTTTCCTTACTCTCTTATCATTTCTTCAGTTGGAGGTGGTCCAAAATGTTTCTCTGCTGCTCTGTTTCCATATTCCTCAACATATTTCACTACTTCCAGTTAAAAAATAATTTTTTCTGCTTTGATATTCTTGTACTGGTATGTAGTATTAGGAGGTACCATAGTATCTTTCTGCAAGAAAGAACTGTCAGTAGCTGAAACCATGTTCATACATTCATATACAAGATACCAGTATACTATATACAGTACATGCCACATAAGCTCCTTACGAGGGAAATACAAGGTGCAGGGAAAGAAGAGAAAGCAGCCTCCTTCCCTCAAACTGGCTGCTCCGTTGCCCATTTCTCCATTGCAGCGCAGCTTTTCTGCCCACAAAAGCCTCATCTTTGATGGCCAATGCCAAAGAAGAGAAAGAGTGGTGGGAAGAAGCTAGTCGGCCCGGGAATTGGATAACCTTTCCTCCCCTGCTCTAAACTAACAATAGCAAGCTAAGAATTTTAGGACATTGGTGATTTTTTTCCTCCTGAAAAAAAAAAATCTAGCAATGTTATCTTTACAAAGACAAACAGGCAGGCTCTAACATGCCTGCCCATGTTAATAAAACACAGTCTGCCACCCCCCAAAATGCATCGATGGCTGAAGTGAGGAAGCCATACCACGCCCAACAATGGGGGGGAAATGGATGGCAAGTGAAGTCCTATCTTGCCACGTGTGCCCCAATGAAAGGCAGCAGCAACCCAGCAGCTTCTCTTGCCCGCCTTCTCCAGCGCTGGAAGCCAGGCTATACCTCTCTCTCACTCTGTGTCTCTGGACTCACAGTCCACACAGCCTAGGAAGGGCGCACTTGCAGCAGTGCAGCAAGCGGTGGTGGTGCGGCAGGTGGCAGCAGGACATCCTTGGTGAACTGCTCAAGAAACAGGGCAGGCAGTCATAGAGCGCGCCCAGGCCAGCCAGTGATGGGATCAGCTGATTCTCCGAACTGCATTTTAACACTGTTAATAACAAGCGGTTTGGCTGAACTGGCTGAATTCCACCTCGATGTTGCTGCCTAAACCGAGGAACGCTGGAGCCTTCGCAGCCGATTGGCAGTTGGATCAACCTCCCAGAATACCGCCAATCAGTTGCCTGTTGCCGCCGCCGCACCAACTCCCTCCCCTCTCCCCAGGTATGGCAAACCTCCAGCTGATGATTATTATGATTATTGATTATTCAATGTATAAGACGCACCGAAATGTTCACCCACTTTTTTGGGTGGGAGGAAGTGTGTCTTATATTCCAAAAATATGGTATATCAAATTTCCCAAAATATTTATATTTTATAAAAGGAGGGAGAAATAACTGGATTATATGTTTTTTTCCTCATCCTAGTGATGTTCTGGCACTTCCCATTTTTAAGCAAGAAGACTCTAGCCTTCCATCTGATAATGACACAAAACATCCACCATTTCAATATGTTATGTCTGCTGCAACGTCCCCAGCAATCAAACTGCATGATGAAACACTTACTTATTTAAATCAAGGTAAACATTTGTCTTTTTTGTGAAGGGGAAAGGGATACATAACACACACACACACACACATTATATATATATATATATATGTATGTATGTATGTATGTATGTATGTATGTATGTATGTATGTATGTATATATTATACAGGTAGTCCTTTATTTATGACCATAACAGAGCCTGTCCATTACAGTTGTAACTCATGATGGTGATAATTTGGGTTACCCATGGGCCAGTCCGATTTTACTACATTTTTTTGCAGCAATCAAACAAATGTTGTGGTCATTAAGCAAACACTGTTGTTGTTAAACCCATGATTCGTTAAGGGCCAGTTTTCCCAGAAACCAGAAGATAAATGTCAGGTCTCAGCAAAACCATTGTGAATTGGGACACTGAAAGGGCTCTAAATGTGGTTCGGTTGCTGAGTGTATGAATTCTCAAAAAGAAAAACACAGAAAACTGCAGTAGGATTAGCAGACTTAATTTAAATTTTTCTCTTTAAGTTGATTTAAAAAGAAATATATATATTTAAATGTTATGCATGTCACTATAGTATAAAATAACAATTAGTAGAAAATGTAGTTTTCCTGATTTGTTCAAAGTTGCTTTGTTTGCTTTACTGTTACTAAATTAATAAAAAATTCTATGCATATATATTTAAATAATATATCAAATTGTTTCACTGAGGGTCACCTTAATATAATATTTTAATTCATATTTTTTATCTTAAAATTATTGCTAATTTTGTATTTTGTGACATAAATATACCATATGTAGTCCATACTGTTTTGTAAAAAGATAGAAACAGTGGATTGAAGCCAGATTCAATAATACTTGGGAAGACATTGGTGACAATTAACTTAATATTGCTTTATATACTAATGATGACAAGTGTAAATCTCCTAATAATAAGAAACCAGTTTAAAAATGCATTCTGTTAATTGATTATGATGACCACAGTATTTTGGTTTCTTGCAGTTTCAATCTTTCATATTTAGAACCAAATAGCTGTTTATAGTTTGCTAAATTGTAATTGTATTCTTTTTGCTTTAATTGCATGTAGAATAGCTTTTAGTTGATCTTGCTGATAATGAAAGTTGTACAATTATCTAGATTTCAGAACATCTATGAATCTCAAATATAGCATTTATTTAGGCTGTGCCTAGGAAAAATAAAGTGGCTATTTATGTTCAAACATAGAGACAGAACTGTAAAAAGTTTCTGAAGTGAAAGCCTTGCAAAAGATGTAACATTTTAAAATATTGCATTGTAAACATCTCTGTGTTTTACTGAGAATTACCATTTATTTAGTGAGTCTTATTGTCAAATACTAACCTATCATCTCAGTCTCTCTTCTTTTTTACCTCTTGAAAAAAGATTTTGAGAATTTGAGAGAGGAACCAGAACTAGTTTTTACACAATGTATTTTTCATTCCTGTTCTACTTTGTTCTAAACCAGGGCTGTCAAACTCCCGGCCCATGAGCCAGATGCATGACACGCTACCACGTGCAGGTCTGGTTTAGGGAAGGGGAAAAAAGTCCTGATACATCATGCGACGTTGTGAATTTGACACCCCTGTTCTAAACAAAAAAGCAAATAGTATATCATATTTTTGTTATAATTAATGTAAATTGTTTTTAAAGAGAAACAATTTCTCTTTAACAAGTTTGTACAGAAATATTAAATATACATGCACACATATCTCCCTCTTTCTTTTTCCGATTGGAAGGTCAGTCCTATGAAATTCGGTTGTTAGATAATCGAAAAATGGGAGATATGCCTGAGATCAATGGGAAACTCATAAAGGTATGTTGGTAGCTCAACCTTGACTCTTGTTTCTTTTAAATTCTCTTATTGTCAGCTTTGCAGTAACATTTTGTTGCTCTGGGTGTTAAAATTCCACAATGTGAGTATGGAGGAAGCTTCTGATATACTCTGATCTGCAGGGACAGGTTTGGGAAGAGAATGTTCCTCTTCCAGTATTTCTTCCAGATAACTTTATCAGGAGGGGAGAATAACATTAAAAGCAACTACAAGCATGTGATTACATAGCTCTTTGTTTAAAAAGTTTTATTGGATTTTTATTTTTAAATATATATCAATATCAATACATTAACAGTGTGGCCTCTGGGTATAATTCATTTTGATACAAAAAGCAATAATAATAATAATAATAATAATAATAATAATAATAATAATAATAATAATAATAATAATAATAATAATAATAATTTATATATATATAATATATATATAATTATATATATAATTATTATTATTAATAATAATAATAATAATAATAAGCGCATGGACAGCACTTGAAAAACATTGAAGTTTACATGGGCATGGCTTAAGATGGGAACCATCAAGAAAGAAACGGAAGGTTTAATACTCACTGCTCAAGAACAAGCACTACAAACTAATGCCATGAAAGCAAAGATACAAAAATCCACCAACAATCCAAACTGCCGACTTTGCAACAACAAAGTTGAAACTGTTTCACATTTAATATGTGAATGCAGCAAAATCGCACAAACTGATTACAAAGCTAGACACGACCGAGTTGCTAAATTAATCCACTGGTCATTATGTAAAAAATACAATTTACCTGTATCCAAAAACTCATGGGAGCATAAAGTAGAAAAAGTTTTAGAAAATGAGAAGGTGAAGATCGTGTGGGACTTTCGAATAAGACAGGTCGTCATTTGGAACACAACACGCCATATATCATAGTTGTCGAAAACCGAAACATATAATTTATTGACATCACGATACCCGGAGATACCAAAGTCGAAGAAAAAGAACTGGAAAAAATCATGAAATGATCGCGACCTGGCCATCGAAACTACATGACTATGGACAAAACATGTAACAATGATACCCACTGCCATTGGGGCACTTTAATTTAATTTAATTTAATTTCCAATTTATATACCGCCCTTCTCCCTGAGGACTCAGGGCGGTGTACAGCCAAGATAAGAACATAGAATACAAATATTAAAAACAGTTAAAAATATATATAAATTTGGCCCGAAAGTTAAGAAGTCACAAACTGATTAAAAGAATTTAAAAATTTCTTCTTAAGCTAGCCTGGCTTGCTGGAAAAGATGGGTTTTAAGGGCACGACGGAAGGCATTGAGGTCATGGATTCTCCTTATCTCAGGGGGCAACTGATTCCAGAGGGTAGGAGCCCCCACAGAGAAGGCCCTCCCCCTGGGGATCACCAGCCTACATTGTTTGGCTGATGGCACCCTGAGGAGGGCCTCTCTGTGGGAGCGCACGGGTCGATGGGAGGTCGTCGGTAGCAGCAGGCGGTCTCGCAGATAGCTAGGCCCTATGCCATGGAGCGCTTCAACCAACACCTTGAAGCGCACCCGGAAGACCACCGGGAGCCAGTGCAGCTCGCGCAGGAGCGGTGTTACATGGGAGCGCCATGTTGCTCCCATCACTACCCGCGCTGCTGCGTTCTGGACCAGTTGGAGCCTCTGGGTGCTCTTCAAGGGGAGCCCCATGTAGAGAGCATTGCAGTAGTCAAGGCGAGAGGTGACGAGGGCGTGAGTGACTGTGCACAAGGAATCCCGATTGAGAAAGGGCCGCAACTGGCGAATCAGGCGAACCTGACAGAAGGTCCCCCTGGTAACAGCCGTCAGATGTTCCTCCAAAGACAGCTGCCTATCCAGGAGGACTCCCAGATTGCGAGCCCTTTCAGTGGGGGCCAAAGACTCGCCCCCAATAGTCAGTGATGAAGTCAACTGACTATATCGGGATGCCGGGAGCCACAGCCACTCAGTCTTGGAAGGGTTGAGCTTGAGCCTGTTCCTCCCGATCCAGATCCGCACAGCCTCCAGGCACTGGGACATCACTTCAAGGGCATCATTGGGGTGGCCTGGGGTGGAGATGTACAGCTGGGTGTCATCAGCATACTGGTGGTATCTCACCCCAAAGCCATGGATGATCTCACCCAGCAGCTTCACATAAATGTTGAACAGAAGGAGCGAGAGGACCGATCCCTGCGGCACTCCACAGATGAGAGGCCTCGAGGTCGACCTCTGCCCCCCTGCCAACACAAACTGCGACCGGTCGGAGAGAAAGGAGGAGAACCACCGCAACACAGTGCCTCCCACCCCCAACTCTTCCAGCCGGTGCAGCATGATACCATGGTCGATGGTATCAAAAGCCGCTGAGAGATCTAACAGGACCAGAACAGAGGAACAAACCCTGTCCTGAGCCCTCCAGAGATCATCAACCAACGCGACCAATGCCGTTTCCGTGCTGTGCCCAGACCTGAAACCCGACTGGAACGGATCTAGATAAGATGTTTCCTCCAGGAATTGTGGGAACTGTCGCGTGACCACACTCTCAACAACCTTCGCCATGAAGCGAAGGTTGGAGACAGGACGATAGTTAGCCAATATTGCCGGATCGAGGGACGGCTTCTTGAGGAGAGGCCTCACCACCGCCTCTTTGAGGGCAGCGGGGAAGTGACCCTCACTCAACGAAGCATTAATAACGCCCTGGAGCCAGCCTCGTGTAACCTCCCAGGAAGCCAGTACCAACCAGGAGGGACACGGGTCCAGTAAACATGTGGCCGCACTAAGTCTCCCCAAAATCCTGTCCACATCATCGGGAGTCACAGCATCAAACTCCTCCCAGATAACATTCTCAAGACTGTTCCTCGTCACCCTGCCCTGATCTACCCAGTCAGAGTCCAAATCCTCCCGGATCTGAGCGATTTTGTCATACAGGTATTGTCCGAAATCCTCCGCCCTGCCTTCTAAGGGATCCTCCCGCACTCCCGGATAGAGCAGGGAGCGGGTCACCCTAAACAGGGCGGCCGGACGATTCCCTGATGACGCAATAGAGGCGGAAAATTAATTAAATTTTGCCGTCTCTATCGCCACTAGGTAGGCCTTAATATGCGACCTTACCAGTGTTCGATCAGATTCAGCGCGACTGGCCCTCCAACCATTCTCCAGGCATCTTTTCCAGCGCTTCATTTCCCTCAGCTCCTCAGTAAACCAAGGAGCTGCATGGGATCGGCACCGGGTCCGAGGCCGCAAAGGCACGACTCGGTCCAAGGCCCCACCAGCCGCCCGATCCCAGGCGGCTACCAGGTCCTCGGCCGAGTCATGTGCTAGATCCTCAGGAAATGGCCCAAGCTCCATCTGGAACCTGTCAGGATCCATCAGGCGCCTGGGGCGGATCCATCTAATTGGGTCCATCTCCCTGCGGCGAGGGGTCACGGTTTGAAGATCTAGGCGAAGGAGTGAGTGGTCAGTCCATGACAAGGGTTCCATGTCTATATCCCCTATAACAAGACCACTCAACCACTGGCCAGAGACAAAAATCAAGTCCAGAGTGTGACCTCCCCTGTGAGTAGGGCCATGAACTAACTGGGTCAGGTCCATGGCCGTCATGGAAGCCATGAACTCCTGAGCCACCTCAGACGTTTCACCAATGGATGGCAAGTTGAAATCACCCATGACTAAAAGCCTGGGTGTTTCTACTGCCACCGTGGCTATCACATCGAGTAGCTCAGGTAGGGCTGTTGCCACGCGGCAGGGACCCAGGTACGTAAGCAGCAAGCCCATCTGAACCCCACGGCCCCACCTCACAAGGAGGGACTCACATCCGGCTATCTGAGGCACAGTGGTCTCCCTCGGACCCAGAACCTCGTTAATAATAACCGCCACCCCCCCGCCCCTCCCCTGGGCCCTCGGCTGATGGAATGCTCTGAAGCCTGGTGGGCACATTTCAACCAGAGGGACGCCACCCTCCGGTCCCAACCAGGTCTCCGTAATACCCGCCAGGTCCGCTCCTCCCTCTTGAATAAGATCGTGAATGAGGGGGGCCTTATTGACCACGGACCTGGTGTTGCACAGATCCTGAGTATCTAAGCCACCTAGTATCCAAACGGAGCCTTGGGGACCGGGGCAAGCAATTGCTCTCAGACAGCGAGTGCGAGCACCCAACACCTGATATGGTCCTCTGCTCCCGCCATATCTGCCCCTCCCATCTACCGTGCCGATGGTACAACCCTCATAGATATCGTCCCCCATCCCTTTCCCAATCCCTCGTACAGTGCCCCCCAAATCGTTACCCTGTGCCGGGCACGGCTCTGACCCTGATGGATTCCCCCCCATCCGCCATAATCGTCTTCCCACTTGGTACCATGCCCAAGAATTTTACAAAACACATCAAGAAATTGCAGCTTCCTGCAATTCCTTCCTGCAACAGCAGAACTGCAAAAAACTGCACTACTCGGAACATCACATATTTTAATATGATACTTGATTGATACCTAAGACGCTTGCAGCAACCTGTATCAACCATTAGCACCAGTCAATGGTATTTCTGACACATTTTTTTTTGAAAAATTTTTCAGTTTTATTTCTATACACATAACATAAAATGTACATTTTCTTATACGTAATTTATCATACATATGCATGTTTTCCTTAAAGAAAGCATTAAAATAAGGCATTTTAACTACATTTGGAGTTGCTCTTCTACCGTTTCTTCCCTCATTTCGCAACAACCCTTCTTCTTCTCTTCTTTCCCTTCCCTCCCTCCTCTTCTCTCCTACTTTCTCATTCCTCCTCTCCTACCTCATCCTACTTCCCCTTCCTTTCCCCCCACTCCTCTCTTCTTTTCCCCCTTCTCACCTTCTCTCCTATGCCTCTCCTTTACCCTTCCTTCCTCTCCTTTTCCCTTTCTTCCATTCCTCTCCCTCCATCTCCTCTTCCTACCCTCTACTCCTCTCTTCTTTCTATGTTCTTTGCTGTGGAATATTCTCCTTGTTTGGT